TAATTTTTGCACTATATAAGTGCAACTTAAAATTAAAACAATATAGAATTATTCATTCAATTAAAACCCTAACCACACAAAATGTAACACCCACATCAGGGTACGTAGCTTTATTTATGCCCTAATACCCTTAGTTGAATCTTGATAGAGTTATCTTGGACAAGTGTTAAGGAAATTCTTTAAAATGTTATTACGGGTAAAATGGTCATTCCACTCATAATTAGATGAAAGAGTGGGGAATGAAAAGAAGTAGAATAACATGGAGAAGTTAATAAAAGTGAGGGCATTATTGTAATTGACTAAGGGACATAGATGGAATTTTTAGAAAGTGCAAGGGTAAAATTGGAAACTAATATATATTATTTAGTAATAAGAGTTCAAGAGTTGAAACCCTAGCTACTCCACCCATTATTCACGCCACCTTCACCCCAAATTCTCTCAAATTTCTTCACTAAATTTCTAAGGAAATTCATAGGATTTTGGCTAGATTTTGATAGATTTTCAATTTTAAAGTCTTAAATTCTTATAGTTTTATATGCTTAAGGTTTAAGAGGAAGGGGAATTCTACCAAAGAGAGATTATAGTGTTGGAATTGCTCAAATTTAAGGTAAGTAAATCCAACTTTAGCTTTGATTGAATAAATACTTCTGTAGAGGAATTTCGTATATGTTGTATGTGTGTTTGGATGATTAGAATTATGGATTGAAATTGAGGTTGTTTGATTTGTGAATCTTATGGCCATGAGAAGTGATGTATTTGTATGTGTTGAGTTGATGACTTATGAAAGAATGGATGTGGAAGGGTGTAAGGTGAAATTCTGCTAGGGTGGTTGTTGGCCTTAGGGAGTTTTTGCTCCAATTTTGGTGGCTTGAGAAATATATGGAAGTGTAACCAATTTAGGGTTTGTATGTGCATGTAAGGTGTTTGATGAAATTTCAAAGAAAGTGCATATATATGAGTATGTTAGATTAGTACTTTGTTATGGAAATGTTGTTGGTAGAGAATACTAGTTCCATAATGATATCTTTATATGCCTTAATGCATTCTTACATTTGAGCATTTGCATTTAGAAAGAATAGCAAAGAATGAGCATATTTACATGCACATATACATGTATGAGAACATTAAAGAATAAAGAGAAAGAAAGAAAAGATATTAATTCTATGATAAGTGCTTGAAAATACACTTATAGTTAGTGGTTTATAGGTATCATTTGTGGGAAATTAGGATTAATTTGCGTGAATTAACTTAATTGTTTCATAAACGCGCTTTTCGGGATCACGGGTATTTTTGCTGTGTTTTCAGGGAATAAGGCTCAAAAATAATATTCGGATGAGAGATGATGTTGGCGAGAGAATTTGTGATGATTGGAAACAAATGGATTGAGAATCGAAGTTGAATTGAAGAAGTTATGGAAGTTGAAGTAAAGAGAAGATCCTAGATTATGTTCCAGCTTGCGCATGCCTCGGTATTTTGAGAATATCTTTAGATGTAGAATTCGTATTAAGACGATTCTTAGACTTTTGGAAAGCTGATTCAAAGGGCTATATTTCATATGTTTACCACTTTTCCAAATTTCATCGTTATCAACTTAAAAAATCACCATCTCTGAAGAATAGTGGAATGATGCGGGAAGAAGACCAGTAGCTATTGTGCCGTGGCACACCTGTTCCAATAGCTACTGTGCTGCAGCATAGTGCCGTGGCACAGTCACGACACCTGGGAACTTTTCTTCCGTTTTTTACTAGGAAAATAGGGTTTAAGAGTCCTAAACTAACTAGAATTAAGGAAAACAAAACCCTAACCCTTGTGGGATATAAATAGAAGTCTTTTAGCATTATTTTAGGGAATTACGAGGGTAGTTTTCCCATCAAATACTTAGGTGTACCCCTCATTACCTCTAAGCTTACCTTTGGAGATTAAAGAGGCTGGAGAAGAAGATTGGAGGAGATCATCATCAACTTCAATAATCCAACCAAGTTTCACTAAGTTTTTCTTCTTCTTTGTTATTATTTTTGTTATGAATAATACAATGATGTTCTCATATTTATTCATGAAGAACTAATTCTTTTGTGTTGGGGGTGATTTCAAAACCCTAGACATGTCTTGTGATTATAAAATCTGCATCTTTTTATCTTTTGATCCCTCTTGGTTATGTGATTATTTCACTGAAAATAGGGTTTAACTAGATTTTTCTAATTGTTTAAGTGGTCAATTAAATCGTTAGGATTAATCTATTAATGCCAATTTAGGTTGCCTAGTATGGAATTGCTTTATTAACCTAAATAACTAGTGGTAAAGTGTATGCCTGCATACATGGGGGGTAATCACTCAAGATAACTAAACCGACCATATGAGTTTAGCCTTGATTCAGTAGGTCTCTTGCAACTTAATGCTTTTATTACTTTGAATCTAGAGATCTTATCCTAGGTTATCTAATAAATAGGGAATTGTGTTATGACCGTGTCTAATCCAACGACTCAGTAAGGAGAGATAGAACTTATCAACGTTTGATATTTTCTAAGCTGATGTGATTAAGAGGGTAGAAAGTTAAAGAGTGCTTTTATTTTATGTAATTCATGTCTAGTGGTGGCGAATAAACCTTCAATCCAGTTTCTCTTATTTATCTCTTTCGTGATTGTCTGCTTGTTTTATTTTAGTTTGATAGTTGTTGTTGAGTTTTTATAATTCGTGACAAACCCTGTTTGAACTAGATAATTAATTGAGTTCACAAATCCTCTGCGGGAAAGACCCTTACTTGCTTTTTGCTACTACACGACTTTGCATTAGAATTTAGTGAGGTAAAATTAGGTGTTGCATTTGTCTGCATCATTGTAGAATCATTATCTAAAGAACATAAATAAAGAATACCTCAAATCTGAAATTTTATTTACAGAAATATAAAAAGATAAGAGAAGAGAAGGTTGCTGCGATGGAGAACCCGTGAGTGACAGAGAAAAAGAATATCCCCACATGCACCCCGCCTTTAGTGAGCGGCCTAAGAATAAGAAAGAAGAATTTGTACAATCCGTAAGAAGTGCATATGGATGAGGACTATACCCAAGAAAGAATTTGAGAATACACTCACACGGCCAGGCTTCCGAATCCTTGCCTCAACCGAGTTCGATCGGCAAAGAAAGAATGGAAAAGAAAATAAAGAAAGAAAGAATAGAAAAGAAAAGAAAGAAAGAATAGAAAATAAGAGAGACTAAAAAGAAAGAAGAAAAAGAAAGAAAACAGAAAACAAAATGAGGATTAGAAAACAGAATAAGAAAACAGAAAAACAAAAAAGAAAATGCATTGCATAGAAAAAGTTTATGCATTTGTGCATATGCATCATGCCATTTCTACTATCTTGAGTTAGTTTCCCTATTTGTGCTTACATATCGGTAAGTGAGAAACTAGAATCTTAGAAAGAGAAGAGAAGAATTGAGAAGTTTGGTGTAAGGAAAGGAAATCCAGGATCTGAGTAACGGAGAAAGAATAGAAGTATTATGGGTTAACTTATTGAGCAATTAGTGCTCACTCCATTGATTTCACCGTTTTTGCAGGTAATAGATGAGATGTGGTTGGGAGGAACGTCAAATAGCAGAGGAGAATGGCACCACTGTCCAAGATTACTTTGTACTTATTTTTGTGACTTTATTACTTGATGTAGAGATTTGTATATAAAGTCAAATTTATTTTGGGCCCACTATTACATTCTTATATACATATATATTTTCGATAACATGTTAGTGAGTTTTACTTATATTTTTCCAAAGAACTACTAGCTAGATAGAATATTACACAAAATCTCTCTCTCTCTCTCTCTCTCTCTCTCTCTCTCTCTCTCTCTCTCTCTCACGTTTCACTCTTGAGTGAAAAAGAAATTTTTTTTCTTGTTCTTCTTTCTTGATTCTTGAAACCCTTGATTGTTCTAGCAAAATAATCAACGGTTATATGGATTGTTTGTTAGAGTAGATGCCCTAGAGCCAATCAATTATTGTAGAATTGACTCTTTGTAATAATGTTCATTAATCAATAAAAGTCATTTTATACTATATCGCTAAATTATTATTATTGCAATATGTATTGATATATGTCCTTAGAATGGTAGAACCGTGACGAGGGTATCAAGTGGTTCAAATCTTGATAGTGAGAGCCCTATGAGCACATATGGTGGCCATTCTAGAAACGTCCGTAGCCCCAGTATTATTCTAAAGTAAGGGCACAAATAATACAGTAAGGCTATCATAGTGTTGAACGACCCTGTCGAAAGGCAGTGACTGATCTCACTTGTCAAGGTTGTTTGGTGACAACCTGGTGCAACACATGGGTGCTTGTTGTAGGCGNAAAAAAAAAAAAAAAAAACAGAGAGCTTTGAGTTGAGCTTCACTGAGTTAAAACTCTTGAAACAAAGTTAACAAAGACAGCAAACTCTTCCTTGTCTTTGTGTTGTGTTTTAATTTTCCCTGTATAGGTTTTCTTTTTCTTCCCCTTGATAATTCTACTATTTTATCATTAGATTTTCGATGTAGTTAACATTTTCCATTTATGGAAACGTTTGATTTTTCTCAGATCTATGAATTTCATCTGTTTTTCAACGTTTTTTCATCGTTGTAATCATTTTGAAGATGATCACTGAAGGGAAAAAGAAACTAATTTTTTCCTTTATTTTCTCTCTCAACTACCACCTTTTTTCTCTCGAGAAAATTCGAGTTCTTTCACTGTTTTATCTTTAGATCATAATAATCTCATAGTACAGAAGATGGAAAACGATCCCATTGGTTTTTGTAATCATTTTCTAATCTCCCTGTGCTGAGCAGTTTTAGATCTTTAGATCTGGTCTCAATTATTGAAGATTTTAGATAACTTAGGAAGATTCCCGCAGAATTAGATCTGGGTTTTATTTAGCAAAGCCTTGTCATCCTTTTTTTAAATTTTCTCGGTAAAGTTGTTAATTTTCCGCGATAAAAGTTGTTTTTCTGGGAAAAAAAGGGTTGGGGAGTTAGGGGTTGAATGCTGAAAAAAAGATGAATTATTTTCCGGACGAGGTTATAGAACACGTGTTCAATTTTATAACATCACATAAGGACCGAAACGCGGTGTCGTTAGTGTGCAAATCATGGTACAAAATCGAAAGAATGAGCAGACAAATAGTGTTCATAGGAAACTGTTATGCTATCAGTCCGGAGGGAGTGATTGCCAGGTTTCCGGAGCTCAAGTCCTTGACGTTGAAGGGTAAGCCGCATTTTGCGGACTTCAACTTGGTCCCACATGATTGGGGCGGGATTCTTTACCCTTGGATCGAAGCTTTTGCCAAGAGTAGAGTCGGCTTGGAGGAGTTGAGGTTGAAGAGGATGGTGGTTTCTGACGAGAGTCTCGAGTTGCTCTCGAAGTCGTTCGTGAATTTCAAGGCCTTGGTTCTTGTTAGCTGTGAAGGCTTCTCCACTGATGGGTTGGCTGCTGTAGCTGCCAATTGTAGGTAAGAAAAATTAAAAATTTTCACTTTGTTTATATTTGATTGTGCTTCTTTTGTGCGGTTACTTTTGGATTTCTTTTATGTGATTTGAGTTTGGTGTGAATTTGTGACTCTGAAATGGTTAATATATGGGTTTGTTTCACATTCACATTTATCTTGTTGTAAAGTTAGATTTATGCTTTAGTTATAGTTATCGTTTATCTGGATTCTTGGTTGTGGTGATTGAAAAGCCCTCTGGTTTGATTGAGCTACAGGAAGTAAACGAGGTTGTTATTTCTATAGCATCTCATACTCTATTTTCGATGTTATCTGTGATTGTTGAACAATTGTTCACATGGCTAGTTGTTAACGTGAAAGTTATATTTACTTGAAATTGGTGGAGATTTGTAAGTGATGCTGATCAGTTTTTTACTATTTTAGCTTCTTAACTGTGTATTTACTTTTCGGTGATCTTCAGGGTGTTTAAGCTTGAATTGAGCAAGCTACTCTGCTATTTTAAATCTGGGAAAAACTTGTTTTTAGTGTCTAATCAGACCACAACTTTTTATTGTCTACTGATCAATATATTGTTTACTTGGATGGACTATTTCGACGTAAGCTCCTCAATATAAGTCTGCTGGTAAACATAAAGTATAGGGTTTGCCTAATTATTTTTTTCTATTATCTGCATTCTAGGTTTCTTAGGGAGCTGGACTTGCAAGAAAATGAAGTAGAGGATCATAGAGGCCATTGGATTAGCCGCTTTCCTGAAAGTTGTACTTCTCTTGTCTCCCTGAACTTAGCATGCCTCAAAGGAGAAATAAATTTGTCGGCTCTTGAGAGACTTGTAGCAAGGTCTCCTAATCTCAAAAGTTTGAGGTTAAGCCGGGCTGTGCCTCTTGATGTGCTCCAAAAGATACTGATGCGAGCTCCTCAACTAGTGGACTTGGGTACTGGGTCCTTTGTACACGATCCAGCTTCTGATGCCTACAACAAATTAAAGGCTACCATTCTGAAGTGCAAGTCAATAAAGAGTTTGTCGGGTTTTTTGGAGGTTGCTCCTCGCTGCCTGTCAGCTATTCACCCAATTTGTCATAATCTAACCTCCTTGAATCTGAGCTATGCCCCCGGCATTCATGGAAATGAGCTGATAAAGCTTATTCAGCACTGCAGGAAACTTGAGCGATTATGGGTATGGTCTTCTAACCTATTCACACTTGAGTTACTGAATATAAAATTCTGATCAAAATGAGATGAATGATAATAACTTCTATAATCTCTGCAGATACTGGATTGTATTGGAGATAAAGGATTGGGAATTGTAGCTTCAACTTGTAAAGAGTTGCAAGAATTGAGGGTTTTCCCATCTGATCCCTATGGGGTAGGCAATGCTGCTGTAACTGAGGAAGGTCTAGTTGCCATATCTGCCGGTTGCCCAAAGCTTCATTCATTGTTGTACTTCTGCCAGCAGATGACTAATGCTGCTCTTATAACTGTGGCAAAGAATTGTTCTAATTTTACCCGCTTCAGATTGTGCATCCTTGACCCTACAAGACCTGACCCTGTCACCATGCAGCCCTTAGATGAAGGTTTTGGGGCAATTGTTCAATCTTGCAAGCGCCTAAGGCGTTTATCACTCTCTGGCCTGTTAACTGACCGGGTTTTCCTTTACATTGGAATGTATGCTGAGCAGCTGGAAATGCTTTCTATTGCATTTGCTGGGGACAGTGACAAGGGAATGCTCTATGTCTTGAATGGGTGTAAGAAGCTTCGCAAGCTAGAAATCAGGGACAGCCCCTTTGGTGACACGGCACTTCTAACGGACGTGGGAAAGTATGAAACAATGCGATCCCTTTGGATGTCGTCCTGTGAAGTTACCCTTGGAGGCTGCAAGACACTTGCGAAGAATAGGCCAATGCTCAATGTGGAGATCATAAACGAAGATGATCAGATTGATTTTAGCTCTGATGATAGACAAAAAGTAGGGAAGATGTACTTGTATCGATCATTGGTTGGGCCAAGGAAAGATGCACCAGAGTTTGTGTGGACTTTGTAAGTTCGACCTCAATGCATCTGTGTAGGTCGGCCAATTGTTTACTTGTTCTTCAGTAGTTGTACTTTTCTTAGGCCAGGCTCATTTTTATGGATTTAGTTGTATGCACTCTTTTGTTTAATTTATGAGAGATTTGCTACTTGTAATCGTTGTTACTATAATAGATTTGTGTTAGCATTGGCAAAATCAGTTTCCAGTTCAAAGTATCATCCGTATTGGTTTCGGTGGTTCTTGTTTAAGGGGAGAAATTTATGCCTGTATAGATTGTGGGCAACTGATTACAGGTAAATCTCTTACATGGGCTACCATGACTTACTAATTATTGAACACAACATAAAAACAGTAATGGGATAGCATTTATTGCGAGGTAGGCATTACTGGCTTTATGTTGTTTGCTTGTTTATGCAGCAAAGCAGAGTAATTTTTAGCTACATTCATTACCATTGCGTGTTGCTTTAATGGAGTCAACGAAGTTGCTGTTTGAAACTTTGAATATCTTTTATCTTCATAATTTGTTGATAGGTCAAGACGTTGGGTTGGTACTGATCTCGTCAAACAGCATAATAGCAACTCTTCAAAGGTAAATGATAGGTTTGGGCGTGGCTCCATTTAATCACCAAAGTTATGTGGTTGATAAATGATTTTTGATACTACGATATATATTCTTGGACTAGCAAGGGTGGGCAAATTATTAATTCACAAATCCATACTTGCGACATATCTTTTTAAAGTTTCTGACAATGGCCGGTCAAGAAAAAAACCAGAAGAGTCAAGGCTGGTCAAAGAACCCAGTACCTTCTGGATGGAATTGCCACAACATTGGGGTTCTTAGCAAGAATTACTGCACTAGGATAATTGGCTATGAGGATTTGAAAGGCACTATGGCATGAAGTTTTCCAAGGTTTAGCCAAGCCTTACCTCAGGACCCAATTATTCATATTTGGTTTGGTATTGCTAAGCATACTCATAGACGTCACTGATAATTTTATCTTTTATTTTTTATTTCAACAGATTAGTTATGGAGCTTGAATACTTTAATGAAAATTTTTAGGGGCAAAGCTGTCATTAAACAGGAGAGATTTCACAGAGTAAGAAAATAAAAGCTGTATTTATAAAGACAGATCCTGTTACAAGTTCAAAGAAAAATACTATCAAATTAATCTGGGCATACATCATGGAATTATTACAGGTATGAAAACAAGAGAAAACAAGAATGACTAGATTCCACATTCATGAGCCATAATGGAGAACTGACCAAAGCAGGTTTTACTAAAGAAGCAACAAATGTAGCGAAACCAGAAGCATAAAAGGAGCAACTCGTCCTTAATGCAACCATTATAGAAAGAAGCAGCATTCCTCCATCATACAACAGCAACAAAGCGCAGCCAAGCTGCAATGCAAAACAAATTAGAGAGAAGTTGAGATTCGAGACATCAAAATACAAAAACAGTACATAGTTGGTGACACAGGTTAAGAATTGAGCATATCAAGATGTAATAGATCCCTGCCCATGAAAAGTTGTGATTTCGCAACACCGTGCCAAAGTTTAAAGTAAATTGTAGCCCAACATTCCATATAGAAGCAAATCCTAGTAGTAAAGATCTAAACCCAGCAGTACATGTTCCTCAGGAATTTCAACCAGCATAAGTTATTTCAGTTTCTTATAAGAAAAGATAAACTGCGAATTTAGCAACCCTAAACAACAAACATCTAATCTTGGGTGAACTTTTGTATCTCTCCAAAATGAACCAACTAATATATAAAGAATAAACACCTCTTAAACTCAATTGATTACAATCAAATAGGAAGAACAATTCCCAGATGCATTTGCACCGGAAATAGGTATATGAAGATCTCACATGAAATAGAGGCACATGACAATACAAAACAAACAAGGAGTGCCAAAAAAAGCAATATTTAAACATAATTGTCATCCTAATCTAAATAACCAAGGAGTGCCAAATAAACCAGTTCTTAAACAAACCTCCTTCAGTCTAAGGAGTGGGAGATCAAAAAATAAGATTCCTGAGAGAACTCCTTCAATAGTGTGAAGACAAAGCAATGGAACTAGAATACCTTCACCCACTGACTGTGAACTGAACACGTCCTTAGTTTCTTTACTTTCCTCCTCAGATTGACATGACTAGGTAGAAAGTAATCAGTCACTAAACTATACTCACCTCTCCCACATAACAACGTTTTAACTCTTTTATGTTCATCAAGAAGGAAAAGAAATATTCCATCTTCATCGATAATCCCCAATTACCTCTTGATGGTAACATTATACAGTTTTAATGCGAAAATGATCAACACTGTCATCGAGCATATTTGTTGACAATAATTATAAAAATATAACCTCATACATAGGACCAAAATTTTAACCTACCCAATTCACTCAAACTTAATATAGAAATACATGGCAAATATCCCTAACAAACTACATCATAGATAAGAAACCAAAAAAGTTATCCAATGAAGGCGTTTCTTATAGCAATATATTAACAAATATACTCAAGAAACCAAATACAAACTGGCAGATGTTACATGGAAGCATTATCCATAGTACTTGAGATAATATACAGATGTGTCACTTTTGAAGAGCTAAATACATTAAACTTTTCATCATTCAACTTTTAAATCTTCATAAGAAAACACTTCAAGAAATTAATAGCAGAATCCATGATTAAACATTCACAAACACACCCATCCATGTCAACAAATATATCCACTCAGAGACGCCAGGAATAGCCACATCAATCAGAGAGTAGATACATACTGATCACCAAACCAACCCTAATAGGTAATGAAGAAACTGAAACAATGATTTTTCTTTTTGAACTCTAAAATTTAAACTGGAAATGGAAGTCCAAAAATTTTAATGAAAGAAAAATCGTATAGGAATAAATCATAAATCAATTGACTTAACAAAAAAGAAAAATGTGTAAACACATGTTAGTATGTTACATTTTTCCATTCTACTATACTAAGAGCTTAATTAACATGAATCCCAAATAATAAAAGAAAGTAAAATATAGACATACCAGCCTTGTAGAAAGGAAGTACAACCAGTATCATTGTTCTGGTAATGATAGTGCTCGTAGTAATACTGTGGTTGACCAGGAGGAGGTGGCGGTGGAGGATACCCTTCAGCAAAATACCCTTGGTACCCTTCGTATGGACGTTGCCCTGGCGGAGGGTAAGGAAACCCAGGTGGCGGTGGGGGTGGCGGGTACCCCTCATACGGCGGTGGTGGCGGCGGTGGGTACCCGGGTGGTGGTGGATAGGGAGCTGAATAGCCTATTAAAAAAAAAATTAGAATCAACAATTAAATTTCATATCATAAGATCATCCAATGGGATGATAAATAAAAGGAGAAAAAAAAAAAAGAACCTGGAGAAGCGTAGGGGTCGTTGGGAGGTCTGCGGTAACTCATATTGAAGAGTTTTGTGAATTGATAAGATTGATTGGAGTTTGAAACTGGAATTGGAACAGTTGCTGATAATTTTGGTAGTTTAGAAGATTTAGAAATCGACTGATGGCTAAGTGCCAAGCTGTCAACAATCACGTTTTGCCATGTCATCGTAATCTTTTATTAACTTTACCTTAATTACTATTTAAATGTTTATGTATTTGAGATCTGGATTTCTATTTATTTATTAGACAATGAATACTATCAAACACTATACTGGCCTTAGGCAAATTAGCCCAGTATATATTACTGGCCCATTTCTAGTTTAAATGGACTTAGGCAAATTAGCTTAGACTTAATTGTTATATTATAAAAAATAATGTTACCTTTAAACCATTCTCTACATCACTCTCTTATATCATGATGTGACACTGTCACCCCCACCGACCACGTCAGCGAACTAACACTCACCCAACTAAAAAACAAAAAAAAGGTTCTCTGAAAAAATTCAAACTCCATTCCCCCCGAACCTGATGTCTTTCCCAAATTATTTTCCCTAAATTGAAACTCTCTCCTTCCCCTAAATAAAAAATCTCTCCCAAAATTGAAATTTCTCTCCTTCCCATAAATCAAATCTCTCCCAGAATCAAATTTGAACCGCCGTTGTCTGTCATCTACCACCACCACCGCCGGCTATCATCTACCAAAAAAACTTCGGTTCTCTTCAACTCACCCAAAAAGCCAAAACACAAACAAAACCAAAAACATTTCCTTCCAATTCTCTCAAGTTTCCTTCCATGGCTTTCACCAACTCTCTCTTCTCTTCTTTCAACTCTTCCTCGAACTCCACTCACCGATTCCGATTTCTCCCCTCTAATTTCTCACGACTCATTCATCTCAATTTCAGTGGCAATTTCCCTCCGATTTCTCGCAATTTCTCTCAACAACGGCTTCTCCACGCAAGAAAACAGTAATCAAATTCTTCTTATTCTTCTTTGTTTTGTTTGATGAAAAATTGAAAATAATCGTGTTAATGCGTGCGATTTGTGTTTGTTTTCTTGATCGTTCTATAGCTTTTTTTTGGTTGTATTTTGATTACGAAAGAAACACGTTGAGGCTTGGTTCAATTACGACATATTTAGTCGATTGGAAGGGGACGGTTTTTGATAAATACATGAAATTTGGAGAGGTTTATGATAAGTCTTCAAGGAAATTTATTTGAGGAGAAGGGAGTAGCACATTGAGTTTTATGTCCTAATAGATGTTGTAAAGCTTGAGTTAGCTATCGTAAATTTATGTGTATTCATAGATAAGAGTCATAAGACCATCACTTAGCTGAACCATATACAAAATTACTAAATGTTTGGTGATTGGGAAAACTAGAGAGAAGAAAAAGAACTGACTTGTTGAGATTAATGTTTTTATTGTTTGAGTCAACTTTCAGCTGTACAAGATTTGTATGCATTCAAGTTGCTTCCTTATTTATTTATTGGGTTGGTACTGAAAATTATACAGTATCAAAATATTTTATAAAGAAAATTATTTATGGTGCCTTCTCAAATTTTCTTTGGACATCAGACAATGAGTTGAATATGTTTGTATTTTGTGCCTTTAAAATGTTTTTAGTGGAGAACATTTTAGAGTGTAAATCAAAATTTCATAAAAACAAATAGTTGTAATGATTGTCCTTTTGTGGTTCAATGATTTATTGAGGTGTTGTGCAGGAAGCCAGGAACATTCTATATGCTACCAGTGATCGTACAAATGCAGTTAGTTCAACCCATTGGTCAGTAACATGTTCCTGCCTTCCAATTCTTAGTTATTTTTGTTAAATGTTATGAACAATAAACTATTAAAGGAAAATTTGACATGATAATACGGAGACACCCTTTTAATAGAAGGAACTTGATATCTTATTTTTTGTGCTTTTCTTTTTACTTCATCATCATGTATAAAGTTTCTGGAATTCGGTAGTTACATGGTTTATCATTAATGGCTATAAGAAGAGTGTTTTAATAGACTCCATTATTTTGCAAACCGCATTAACTTGGCGGACAAATTTAATTGCAGAAGTCAGAAAGAAAAGAAAGAGGAAGAGAGAAAGAAAATCTGAAGAAGAAAGAAGACAAAGAAAGTATGCTATGATGATATCTTTATGATTTCTTCTACTTTGGAAGTGTTTGTGCTTCTATTGGTCCAATTCATACAAATTTAGCTATTCTAATTAAAAGAGGTATTGGCTTAAAGGCACTCCTATTTTTAACCTACTACAATTAGAGTGTGACAATTTCTCACTTTAATTTGTTCTTTCTACATTTCTGACTTTCGTTATTCTTTGTTCTCTGTGTTTAAGTTTAAAGAACTATAGAATTTTGTTTGGTCTGTCTGGATATATATTTGACTTGATTGCTGGATACCCAAGCATGTGGGATTTCATGTTGTAGTTTCTGCAATTTCTGGGAGAGTTTTGCGTTTTTTGCAGGTTATGTAGATTTCATGTTTCTGTAGTGTCTGGGAGAGTGCTTTTTTTTTGCCAGAAGTTGGCTGGAGTGATGCTGGTGCTTGTTGAGTTTGCTGGAAGTGATGCTGGTAGTGATGCTGGAAGTTTGCTGCCCTACTTCTGGTGTGATTCTGGGACATTTTTCTGCAGATTTTTGTTGCTGCAGTGTTGTGTTTGCTGCAGTGTTTTGCCTGCTGGTTGTTAAGTTTTGTTTAATTGATTGTTGTCTTCAAATGGACAAGTTTTGTTTTGTTTTTGTTAATTTTATATTACATTCAATCAGATGTACTACACAACAATCTGCTATTTTGAATATATTATTTGATACATGATAAATAGACAATAGGTATTTGTAGCTTCCTCTTATTATCTTTGTTTTATGTTTGTTTTAGAACTCATTCACGCTAATCTCAAATGTAGATACATAGTACTGTTTGTCAAAGGTGGCTTGATGGTGATGAGTTTATTATATCATCAATGAAGGAAGTTGCAATAATATTCACAATAATAAACAAAAAAAAAATTAAATTAACTTCTGACTGCTATTCATAAGCAATTAATCAAAACAGAAGAAATCAACCTTCAAAATATTCGCAATAATGAACAAAAAAATTGCTATTCCTAAGCAATTAATCAAAATATGAGTAATAAACAAACATCAAACATGTATACAGTCATTCAGGTTCCTTTCCACAATTTTCTCACCCTCCCTGTCTCTCCTTCAATAATCAGATACAACACCTCCTAAATCACAAATCATCCAATAAAAAAAAAAAAAAGAAAACTTAAAAAAAGAAAAACTAAAACGTTTATACTATCATTAAAATATTTATTACAACAATTATCACAATTTTTCATTTTGATTGCTTCAAAGCCTCAAGAAACGCATCCTTGAGCAAAGGGTTCGAACTGCAAGTTACTGAGCATTGATGTCAAAATCTTTACCACACCTGATGAAAAAGAGCAACCATCAAACGCTACACATATGGTAATATTTGAGCATATTTAGTGGAAGTCTTTACAATGCACAGAGCAAAAAAATTGCTAGAATGCGGTTCAAAATAGTTAAATAATTTGGAAGTGCCATATGACAAAGTAAATGCAAGATGTAGAACTTTTATCCAACAAAAAGAAAATGTATAATTATACACAAAACATAATGAATCTAATACGCCACAAAAGAACTCAACGATAAATGCAGTTGAATCTTCATTATAGAATATGAAGGTATTAAGGTAGCCAATCTTACATTGGCAATGGTAACACCACCTCTCTTGGTTTGATAATTGGCACCCAAGCGGCCCCCTTGTTGCATCTACGGGGAAAGGATTATTTATGATGTGGGACTGTTAAGGATGCTGAGGTGAGTTTTGTGATTGATGGATACAATTGGAAGTGGCCAAGTGCCAATTCTTGGGCTCTTATTAACGAGGAATTTTGTGAATTTCACACCTTTTAATGTTGACAACAAGATTTTGTGGATACCCTCACCTTCGGGGGATTTCTCTACCAAATCGGCTTGGGAGGCTATCAGAGGAGAAAGAGCAAAAGTTGAGTGGGTGTGAATTGGTGGTTCTCAAAGGCTATCCCAAGAACTCTTGATCTTATGGAGGCTATAAAGGAGATTACCTACAAAGGAAAGGTTGATGAGGTATGGGGCTACACTAACGCTCATTGTTGCCTGTAACTCATCTATGGAATCTCTTGACCACTTATTTTGCATGCCTTTTCTAAGTCTATTTGGAGCAGATCCTTATGTTGCTGACCTTGGCTATGTGGTTAGACCCTGGCATGATTACATCCCCATTGGCAAGGAAATGGGAAGGAAAAGACTCTAAAATTCACTTTGGGTATGCTTTGTTTAGGGGCTACGGTTTATTGGATTTGGAGGGCGCGAATTTGCGAATTTAAGGGTGACTATAAGGATTCCTTTACCATAATTGATGCTATCAAAAGTGTTGTGAGAGACAAAGCTAAGCCCTTTGGGCTTTACGCATGGAATTCTAACGTTTAGTCCGCTCCATAAATTTATCCGTTAGATATCCTACATCAGTCCAGCTGACGGGCTCTGAATGAGTTTTCCAACGGTATCTTACAGGCCTCGTAACTCTTCCGGATAAAAACTTATGGCCGTCTGAATGAGACATGCTCATTTAAGCTTGGGCTTTACGCACGGTCTTCTGACGTTCGGCCCGCTCCATGAATTAGACCGCTAGATGTTCTACATCAGTCCACATCAATGAGATTCTGACGACCTTCAAATGAACTTTCCAACGGTATTACCGGCCCCGTAACTCTTCACGGACAAAAAGTTATGCATGTCTGAATGGGGCATGCTCATTTAAGCCCTTTGGGTTTTACGCACGGAGTTCTAACGTTCAGTCCGCTTCATGAATTCATCCGTCAGACATCCTACATTAGTCCAAGTCGACGGGCTCTGTATGAGCTTTCCACGGTATCTTAAATGCCCCGTAACTCTTCCCGGATAAAAAGTTATGGCCGTCTGAATAAGGCATGCTCATTTAAGCTTGGGCTATACGCATGGAGTTTTGACGTTCAGCCCAATGCATGCATTCATCCACCAGAAATCGTACATAAGTGCAAATCGACGGGGTCTGTATGAGATCCAAGGGTTTTTTATAGGCCTCACTCTTCCCGGATAAAAAGTTATGGCCGTCTGAATGGGACATGCTCATTTAAACCCTTTGGGCTTTACACACAGACTTTGAAGTTTGGCCCGCTTCATGAAAATGTCAGACACATCAATGGGCTTCTGACGGGGTTTGAATGAGCTTTTCAATGGTATCTTACAGGCCCCTAATCTTCCCGGATAAAAAGTTATGGCTGTCTGAATGGGCGATGCTATGTAAGCCCTTTTGGCTTATGCACGGAGTTCTGACGTTCATCTGCTCCATGAATTCATCCGTCAGACATCCTACATTAGTTCAAGTTGAGGCTCTAAAAAGCTTTCCAACGGTATATTACAAGCCCCGTAACTTTCCTGGATAAAAAGTTATGGCCGTCTGAATGAGACATGCTCATTTAAGCCCTGGGCTTTACGCACGGACTTCTGACGTTCGGCCGCTCCATGAATTAGACCGCTAGATATTCTACATTAGTCACCAATAACCTTCTGAAGGGCTCTAGATAAGCTTTCCAACGGTATCTACAGGCCCGTAACTCTTCCCGGACAAAATATGGTCATCTGAATGGGACATTCTCATTTAAGCCCTCTAGGATTACGCACAGAGTTCTGACGTTCAGGCGCTCCATAATCATATGTTAGACATCCTACATTAATTCACACGACAGGCTCTGAATGAGCTTTCCAACAATATCAGGCCCCGTAACTCATCCGGAAAAATTTATGGCCGTCTGAATGGGACATGCTCATTTAAGCCTTGGGCTTACGCATGGACTTCTGACGTTCGGCCCGCTCCATGAATTAGACCTCTAGACATTCTACATTAGTCCACGTTGATAGGCTTCTTACGGGCTCTGAATGAGCTTTCCACGGAATCTTACAGGCCGTAATCTTTCCGGAAAGAAAGTTATGGCCGTCTAAATGGGACATGCTCATTCAAGCCCTTCGTGCTTTACGCACGGACTTCTAACATTCGGCCCGCCCCACGAATTAGACTGCCAAAGGCTTGAATGTCAGTCGATGCCGACGGGCTTTGACGGGCTCTGAATGAGCTTTCCAACGGTATCTTACAGGCCCCGTAACTCTTCCGGATAAAAAATGATGGCCGTTTGAATGGGGCATGCTCATTTAAGACCTTTGGGATTTACGCACGGAGTCTGACGTTTGGGCCACTCCATGAATTCGTCCGTCAAACATCCTGCATTAGTCTAACGAGTGGGGGAATGAGCTTTCCAACGGTATCTTACAGGCCCCGTAACTCTTCCCGAAAAGAAAGTTATAGCCGTCTGAATGGGACATGCTCATTTAAGCTTTGGGCTTTACGTACGGATTTTGACGTTCGGCCCGTCCATGATTAGATTGCAGAGGTGTATGGCAGTCGATGCCGGTGGGCTTCTGACGGGCTCTGAATGAGCTTTCCAACGGTATCTTACAGGCCCCGTAACTCTTCCGGATAAAAAGTTATGGCCGTCTGAATGGGGCATGCTCATTTAAGCCCTTTGGGCTTTACGCACAGAGTTGACGTTCGGGCCGCTCCATGAACTCTGTTAGACATCTGCATCAGTCTAAGTTGATGGGCTCTGAATGAGCTTTCCAACGGTATCTTATAGGCCCCGTAACTCTTCCGGAAAGAAAGTTATGGCCGTCTGAATGGGACATGTCATTTAAGCCCTTTGGCTTTATGCGCGGGACTTCTAACGTTCGCCCGGTCCGCGAATTAGACTGCCAGAGGCTGTATGTCAGTGACGCTGATGGGCTTCTGACGGTCTATGATGAGCGTTCCAACGGTATCTTACAGGCCCCGTAACTCTTCCCGGATAAAAAGTTATGGCCGTCTGAATGGGGCATGCTCATTTAAGCCCTTTGGGCTTTACGCACGGACTTCTGACTTTCGGCCCGCTCGACGAATTTGTCCGTCAGACATCCTGCATCAGTCTTAGTCGACGGGCTCTGAATGAGCTTTCCAACGGTATCTTACAGGCCCTGTAACTCTTCCCGGAAAGAAAGTTATGGCTGTCTGAACGGGACATGCTCATTTAAGCCCTCC